AGGTTCAGCAGATAGAGTGCCACCATTAGTTAAATTTTCCCCACATGCAATAAAAGTTAATAATGTAAAAAAGCATGGAGCAAATCAGCAAGAAGGACTATGAAAACTGCACACTTGGCCTTCCAGACCAGCAGCCAAACTTCATCCTTGTTAAGAAATCTCGCCACAATCCTACATACATCTGTCTGCCCCATTCTCTTATTGGACATGTACACCCTCCCAAGTCAACATCCTAATCTCATAACCCTCTATTCCCTTGCATCCCAGCACACAAGACTCACCTTCAAGCTCACCCCACCTCTCAGTGCCCCTTAAGTCTTTATCAGCCCATGGAGTCAGTTGAAGAGCAGATCTTGTCCCTACCTCCAGCATGACCTCCAAAGCCCAAGTCGAATAGAAGGTAGAGGCCACATGTCCTGCAAATGTTTATGTCCCTTTTCCCTGCTCACACTCACCATGCACAGAGGCACAGGCAAATCAAAGGACCTAAAGCACCTCACATGTCACACTTTGTGCAGGCCTGTTCTCATTGAATGTTTCAACAAGACAAGGCCTAGGAAAAACTGAGCCACAAGAAAAATATCTCTCTTACCTTTTCAAGTTCCTTACTGAAATCCTCCTTTTCTTGGGTAATTTTTGATTGTAAAAGCCGTAACTCAGCATCAAGCTGAATTCTATTAAACAAAGCCAATACAGACATATTTAAAGGGTATTAACAAATAAAATAATTCTTAAAACTATTAAAAATTATGCATTTTTATTCTCAGGCCCTTCATGTGAACATAAGCCATGTAGATGCACACATTTGAGCTCTGTTCCATTCAGATATCCTTATTTGTTACTTCTCTCTAATATATCCGATGAGAATAAAACCTGCAAAGGTAAGGACATAAAAAACTAGCAGCTTTCTACTGCAATAATCTTAAAATAAAAGCCAAGGAAGACTTGTGGGGAAAGGCAATATTTTCTGTAGACAAACTGATGGGAAAAGTATACAAGGAGAAAGAAGACAGGCTTTCAGGTAGGTAAGTCCTACCAGCAACAGGTCTACAGGTTAAAATGGGAAAGTTTGAGCATAGATTTATCTTTCTTGCTTTGGATCAACATTGCACATTTGTATGCTTTACAGGATACAGTCAGAACAAGGGATATTCGCTTCCTTTTTCTACCTTCTATACAAAACAGGAGTCATGCAAGAAGCCTGAGCCTACCTAGAAAACTGTTTGAAGAAAGAAATCTAATACAGAGGAGAAGAGGATATCAAAAAGAAAAAAGAGGAGTAGAAAACTCCAGCATCCTAGCAGTCTTACAGCAAACAAATACAGAACCAGAAATGCATATTGATGAGGCTTTGAGAGCAAGTGCCAAACACTGTGAAGGAAAAAATACATTGACTGGATACTTTAACTCAACTGCCTAACTCGTCTGTTACATCAAATAGTAGAATGAGTTATGAAGGACAAACACTTTAAAATAAAGACCTTCACAACACTGAGCAGTTACAAAAATACAGCACAAAAAGAACAGAAAGACAATGCTTCTGTTACACTCAGGCTATGAAATTCACCATAGCCACAGCTCTCTGGTCATCACCAGATCATAACTATTTGGATCCTCAAAACATCAGCACGGTCAACTTCCCTAGCACAAATATTTCTCGTGAAGTTAATAGTCAGGAGAGTAAAGATAAGCAATTTATAACTGCCTACAGGATCAAGGGCCACGGCTGGCTGCAGTTCATTTTTTACAGTAATTACATTATTAATTAATGGCAACATTCATTTCATGAAGACATTAATGAATTAGTTCTGCCATCAAGAAAAATAGTAGAGTTCAGAGCAATAATTTTACCCAAGTTTCCAATAATTCATATTTTCTTCTTTGTAGGGATTCTTAGCTCAGCTTGTGGAGGGAAATGGGTTCAAACAAGAAGCTTGAATCACCAGGAAGAGTCTAAAAATTTTTCCCCCACCACTTCAGTCATATAACCCTTCAGAAGGCCTACGACAGAGTCACAAGAGAAGCAGCTATGGAGCTAGCCTGGATAATGCTAAATTGACGATCTCCACATTGAGCTCCGTGAGCGTAACATAGACAAGCCCATAGAAAGACATTCAGATTATTTTGCTTATTCATATCATTTGTGATGCTTTGCACCCCAGATAACATACAGAAGTCTCTGTGCCATAGCAAATATAAGTATTCCAGCTGATAGGAAGATGATAGCATGTGCAGGGAGTAATGACTGAGTTTCCTACCATATGTAATTTTTAGAATAACAGTATAACTCTAGTCCAAAGTGCACCATTTGTGAATAGTTCCCTGATAGCTGTCCTCCAAGTCTTTACTCTATGCCCACTGAAGCCAGTAGAAAGATTGCCATTAAATAGTTTACATACTTTACAGAATTTGGCTGGTTCTTTTTAAATATTGGGGAAAAAATCCTTCAGAAAACATTGATGCAGGTTTAGCAAAAAGATCGAATTAAATGGTCTAATAATTCTTACTTCTTTTCTGAGAGTGCCAGCATGTCTGTCTTTTTAAATTCCAGGGTTTTTTCCAGTTGCTTGCTTTTTTCTTTCAGTTTTGCTACGAGAATTTCCTCATTAAATATAGCCTACAAAAAAAAAAATATAACAGACTATATCAAAATATATGAAGTTTCCAAAACAGCAGATAATGAATCCCTTTACTGTCATTGGGTTTTGGGTATTGGTTGAGGGGTTTTTTGAGATTTCATAATATCTGCATGAGACACTACTGTTTTCTAGCCACTCTGACATTTCACAGTCAAAATTACTACAGCCTGCAAAGAAAGAATACTGAGGAAACAGCGGCTAAGGCTGTATTTATTGTATTTAATCACTGAAGGAGTTAAAAAAAAAAAAATCAATGCAGGTTGATAATGAAAAGAAACTTAAAATATTAACCTGAATGAAATCTGTCATTTAAGGGAACCTTACTGCAGAGTTAACTCAGGTACAATTCTGTAATTTGTGCTAACATGATACTCATTCAGACAGAAAGGACTTTTACTGGCAAGGCAACTTGGCAAAACTAGGGCAGAAAATTACATTTTTCGTCTCGGTTTGGCTCAACCCATTACACAAATAGTTTTGCAGAATGGTTGCTTCCAGTAGTGCTGAGGTAACTCAGCAGATGTTAAACTACACGTAGTTTGAGTTAACTCTGCAAGAACTCATAAAAGGAAAGATGAAGACACTGATCTTTCCTTACCTTTCTCTGGCAAGTCATCCCTGAAAAAAGGGAAAAGTAGTTCTAGAGTAGGCAGGGTTGAACTGGAAGCCACTATTAAACAGGTGGAAGACAGAGAGAACCTGGTTGTCTTTTAGCCCTATTAGCTTTGACTTTCCAGATCTTGAGCCTCCTTAAAATTGTCAAGTCCACTTGTGTGGAGTTACTTAGGCTGTTGAATGCATTCCCAGGCAGCTGGGCATAACAGTCTCCTTGCTTATTTTAGTTTCTACGATGCTTTTCCAGTACAAATTCTTTCATAATATCTCAACAGAGTCTTGTTTTCTAAATTTCTTTCTATTTCTTCCCCATATATCTGTTGATTATCATTTCTCTTTTTCAGCTAGTCCTCCAACTAGCTCCACCAGAGGTATGTGCTGCACTGGGATCCAAGTCATCTTCTCACTGACTTTGTTTAATGTTCCCTATAAGAATGTCCTGACAAATAGATGGACCAGCACAGAGTAGCCAACTGTTAGACAAAGTGGTAAAGACAGCGTATACGGACCATCTATTTTTGAAAGTAACATTATAACCAAGTAACTAACAGTTAACAATGTCACTCAATCAGATATCATGCAAGCTTATGTTTCTTCTTAAAAGGTAGGAACTGCATTTCTCTATAAATTCCCCTCACTTTGACCAATTATGAAATTGAGTTTTGATCTCAGCACTAATGATCCAAAGCAATTTTGTAATCTAACTTACCGTTGAATTCACACTTATCAAATGCTGTAGGTCCAAAAATTTTATATTCAAGTTTTCAAATTCATGCTTTTTCTTGGAAGTTTTTGCCTCTTGAGCATCAAGGATTTTTTTCATTTCTCTTTTCTACATTAAAAATAATACAATTAATTGAGCAATATACTTTGCATTATTTTAAAATGTATATTAAAACCCCTGAACCCTTCCAAAATTAAATAAGCACAAAATTTACAATGGAAGAAAATAATTCTCTGCAAAAGCCACAGCTAAATACCAAATGACCAAATTCTATAAGAAAAAAAACAATAATTAATTAGCATGCACATTAGGACCTGATCTGTCAAGATTTCCTGTGATTTTATTCCAGTGTAGGAACTTGATCATACCATATTTTCTACTAGAAAGTTTTCTTTTAATCTGATCATCTGGTTTTATGTTATTGTTCAGAAAGGATATCAACTATACACAACTGAAAGTAGGGCATAATATATAAAACAGTAAAACCTTATCTCGGAGCTTGCTAGAAGAGATAGGTACCTTTATTTTAAGTAGTTTACCTGGAGGGGTTGAATTCTCAGTATATTATTTTTTTTGTCCCACACTCAGTAAGAAACATCAATACAGACGTGACATTCTGAGATGTGCTGCTAGAAAACCTATTTCATATACCATACAATTGTGATGTATGCATGTTTGTGTGTGTATATATGTACACACCTGTCCTGGTTTCAGCCACGGTAGAGTTAATTTATCAACACCCCACACACATAAACACATGTATACAGTAGTGAAAACTGCATGTGTGCACCCAATGCCAAGAGAGGTGCTGTTCTCTTTGGCTGCTGTGGAGACCTAATGTTAACTCCATATAATAAATACAACATCTGGAATAATTTCTATGGTCATTTTGGTTTTGGCACTGTAAAACTGTGAAGTACATTTCAAAACCTTTACCTTATTATCACATTCTTCTTTCTCTTTCTCAAGTTTACTCATTTTTTCAGCTATTTTTTCTTCCAATTCTGCTAATGCTACCTTTGCCCTGATTATTTCTCTTTCTGTATCTCTCGTTTTCTCAGAAGTCTCAATTAAGAGAGCATTTGTGTTAACTTTAGTTGCCATCCTTTCATTCAGCAAGTCTACTCTTTCTTTATACTGTGCCCGCAAGTATTCTTGTTCCTCGCTGAAAAAAAAAAAAAAGATAGAAGTTATATTTCCTGCCATTTATTCAGATCAAAGACTTGGTTTGGATGTTTGTTGAAATAAATACTTGCCTATCCATACATTTGCAACTCAGTCTACTATAGCACTATACATACTATAAAGCATGACATGCACTGGTACCTGTGATGGAGACCATCTATGACCTTGCGTTCCGTAACAGTTTTCCGTTATTTGTATTATAACATTTTCAAAGTTTTACTTTTTCTGATGTGATTCTTTTATACAAGTTTCATTAAAAATGGAATGACTGCCTGCAAGCACTGAAAGAATGAAGAAAGCAGGCTTCCCCTAAGAAACTGCACTGTGATTTATTTTTGAACAACTCCAGCAGCATGGCAGAAGGTGACAATAACATGAAATCTGGGAGGGAGAAAACAAATCTCCCAAGTCTCTGTATCTTCTTGGGGTAACTCTTGAAGAGGAAGATGGATCTCTAGCACAGTTACTGATTCAGAGTTCCTTACACAGTTGTTCTTTTAACTAAAAACTTGTCTGTAGTAGTTCTTTAACATTAATTGTTGAAAGAGAAATCTCTCTCTGCCAGTGTGAGAAGCACAGCTGCAGACAGTTTTCCCTAGGTGAGCGTACTGGGGCTCCAGAGGGCAGGCAGCAGCAGGCAGGCTCTGCTGTTCAAGAGACAAGATCTTAAAGATTAGGCTTGCCGCTGCAGAAAAGAGTTGCCTAGGAACATTTGTGGCTAGTTGTAGGGGTGAGGGCCAAGCACTACTCACCATGTTTTGATAACATTTCAGTTCTCCTTAATTATCTCACCAGTACGGTTTTCCTTGTTCAAATTAATACATACCACAGTGCAGCATTCTGTCTTTCACAAAGGGTTTGCTTCTCATCCAGTAATTCAATTTCATCAGCAATGCTTTTCAATGCAGACTGTAGCTGATTTATCTTAGCAGCACTAGACTCACGTGCAGCAGTAACAAGAGCTAAAAAACAAATAGAAAACATGCAGAAGTCTCTTAACTATAAAAAGGTATATGTGAGACAATGCATTAAGGGATTGATCCATAATCTTTAATTCACTACTATAGGTACTGTCACCTGGTAGGGGATATCTGTGATTCCAAGACACCAACACCCCTGAAATCACACACTATTTTGGTAGTTTAGTCTTATCACATTTTCCCTGAGTCATCTGCATTTATCAACAAGAAGCCTGCTATGTTCTCACAGAATAATTGCTCTTTGTCATACTGTATGTCTAAGAAATTCCTTAGACATATAGAAAACTGATAAAAATTACTTCTTTGCCCCCCAAGAAATCTTCAACACAACCAGCTCTGGCAGAAAGGGACAAGGAGCAGGATCACCTTGCTTGAAATTCAATAGCATTTCTCCCAGAAGAGCCACTGCTGTGTGAAAGTGAAAAGCCTGCATGAAGCAGCACTGTGGATAAAGCTCCTCTGTGCAGGGGTGTTGTACTACAGCATCTTTTCAGCTTCTGAGGTAACAGCCACATTAGTGTACATCCACACACGCAAAACATTTAGGCAGTGCAGAATGGGAGCAGCTAGTATAAACAGCCAACTAACTGCATAGCAGCCATGTGCTATAGGCAGAGAGAAGGTAAGGGAGGAAATTTGCTATAAGAAAGTAATCAAACATATAATGTAGCTGGGAGGAAAAAAAAGAAAAAGCGGAAAAGAAAAGCGGAAAAGAAAAGCGGAAAAGAAAAGCGGAAAAGAAAAGCGGAAAAGAAAAGCGGAAAAGAAAAGCGGAAAAGAAAAGCGGAAAAGAAAAGCTCTGGCTGCTGTTTTATGATGAACCTAAAAGCTGATCTAACTCTGTAGTAGTCCAAAAGGAGCAGTCCTGCTCTCCCTGGCCACTCTGCTACATTGCCATCCCTCTTCCTGTGCCACAACTAACAATCATGCAGGTCCATGGTTAGCCAAATGAACAACTCCAACTCCCTTGTTTCTCCAAAAAAGAAGAAATCCTAACATTCATCTAGATCAACTCCTTGACTACTTTGCTTTGTGACTACAGTGCAAAGAGAAGGGTGGTAGCAGAATATGCCTGGGTCATCTTATAAGTCAAGCCATACTGAGAAAAAAAGAGAAATAGAGTTGAAACTTTATTTTAATCTAGATATCTACATTTGAGCTAAGGCTTTAACCTCCATTCATAGCTAGTGGTGAGAAAGAGGCACTTCCAGCTCATGATTCTTCTGAACATTTCTTTAAACAATTATTCTAGGGTAAGACGAATCATACCTAGAAGTATCTCTTTCTCTTCTAAAAGAGAACATCTAAAAGAGGCATTTGATATGCATTTGGTCAGATGAACCCCACCCAAAAGTAATGCTTATCTGATGTGACATTATTATCCCTACTTCACAAAGAGGGAACTTGCAGCACAGAGCACTCAAGTGCTCCATCTCAAGTGTCAGAGAAAGGCTGTGGCACAGTTGGGATCAGAACTGAGTGCTGCAGTTCCCCAGTCATTCCTCTAGTGCTTGTGCATGGTCTTCAATGGAGATATCTCTCATTTACATTCTTATGTGAGAGAATAATCCCTCACAGTATCATGCATCAGCAAACACCTATCCTTTTTCATTAATAACTTATTATTGAAAGTGATTTACCTTTAGCAGTAAGATTTATTTTATAGAATACTTCAAATTCTTTAAAGGCATAGAAAATTCAGTTCTCTTGTTTTTTTTCAGAGCTGGTTAAGTCAGTATTACCTGACATCTCTGCAATAATCTCTCCTGGAAAATTCCGCATTCTGAAGCGAAGATTGCTGTTTTTTATAGTCTCTTCTTCCAGGCATTCAAGGGTATGCCTTCGAATTTCTTCCTGACAATTAAAAAAAACAAGAAGTGAGAACCAAGCAATACAACAGATGAAAAAGCACTTCTTCCTTACAAATCATTATTTCTTTTTTTTTTAGTTAGTTGATATTGGATATTTTCCATGCCTACGTATATCATTCCCCTTGCTCATACTTCCTCTCTTTCCTCCTTTCTTTCACTCTTCAAAACAAGTAACTTGCTTATAGGTAGCTTAGCAAACCTATGTATCTCCAGGATCTCTTGGCTTCTGACTGTTAACAATCTTCAGGAAGCTGTTACCTACATCTTTGCTACAAAAGCTGTGCTGGCACAGAAGGTCTTAGCTGTCAGCTTCTGCCATTGTGCATGAAAGGTGTTATTTAAGCAACAGAAGAGCCTCATTTCCCTGTGGCCTGAAGCTGCACTGAAGAAGGGGGAACTTTAGTTGGCCTTGAGACAAACTAGAAAGTCACCTTCTGGTTCATGGTTAATGGTAATGAGAAGGGTCACTGTTAGAGTGATGGTGGAGCCAGAGAAAACAGACTGAATTGATTGTGGGAGAAGCCCTCAAACAACTGAATCCCCAAAATTGTATGACTCAGAATTGTAGGTGGGTTGATGAAGCCCCAGATGTCTGGGGAAAAGAAATCAGTTCTTAAATGGATGTTGACTTTGGCATCACAACTTATGCATAAAACCAATCCTATCTTTCTCCTTTAGTTTTGATAGCTGGTGATTGTAACTGCTAAGGTGCTGTGGGAAGAAAAGATACTGTTGAATTTTACTGTCTACAGAGCAAATTCTGTATGCACACATATAAATTACTTTCATTTCCTTGGGAAGATGAAATATTTAGAGCTATAAAATAAATGTGTAAAAGGTTTTAATTTCATATGAGTTACATCCTCAATTAGCTGAAGCAGTGAAAAAGAAAACAGCTTTATGATTTCAGCACTTTACATAAAACACTCATCTGATTGATAGACTAATGCAGAGCTGTCCTGAAAGAGATGATAAAGAGGCCTACTGAAGAAGAAAGGAAAGTTTTACAAGATTTACACCTACCTAGACAAATACATTATGGAGATACTTTTAACATACCCTCTATTTGAAGCCATTCTGGCTTTAATGGCTTCAAAAGTCTTAAGCTACCTATAAACAGCCACCCTCAACTCATAATTGCTGTAAGTTCTCTTATTATCACATAAAATGCAGTGTTTCAAGGAAAGACAAATTGTTAAAAACAAAAATCCCTTTGCATCTAGTCATAGGGCAAATCACCTACCTGCTAACTCTGTACCATCTGCAGAATACACTAACATTAGTGGGCATATCCTCACAGAAACCCTAAGAGAAGCATTATTTTTCTCTCTTGCACCAATAGCATTAAGACCCTTACAATGTAAAGAGCTCTACACAAATAGACCTCTGCCTTCAGGTGACTTTTGTGATGCTCCTGTTAAGTCACTGTAGGTTCAGAGCTTACATCTCTTATCCAAAAGCAACCTATGAAGACACACTAGAATTAACTTCAACTCTAAGTCCCAATATACTCTGCTGAGCATAAGAGCCTTCCCCTTTTTATTTTGACAGAAATCTGGGCATGCCTCAAATTCCACTAACCTCTAGTGTAAATGGCATTTACTGTTGCTCCATCAAAATACCAGCAGGTGGGCTGAGGTTTGGATCAGCTGTGTGATCTATACTAGTCAAGTTGTTTTGTTCTGTTACAGCCAAACTTCTGCAGGCAGCGAAGTGCATGCAAGCACCCATCAAATTCACTCCAAACTGCCTCTCTCTCTCTTAAGGTAGAGCATAAGTCACACAAGAGAAGACTTCTAATAGTATAACTGTAAAAGATTAATTTCATGGTTACCAACCAACACTTACCTGTATATTTGAAGTTAAATATTAGATTTTTCTTACCAATTTTTTAATAGCAGCAATAGTATCTTCAAGATGCTGCACAATTTCCCCACTGAATGCCAAGTCTTCATTTTTCAAGTGTTTTTCTAAATGAAAAATACAGTGAAATTAAAATCTATCATTTTTAAGCTTCAAATATTGCTCTGTTGCTCTGCAAGAATTATTCTGGAAGAGAAGGATTTATTTTAAAATTATTTGCTAAATCTGTTTTTTCCCTGTTCTAAAGTAGGTCAGTGTCTTTCACACTCCTCCTCCTCCTGGTGCACAGAAAAGGCAGGTGCACAAATGGCATATGAAGTCCACAGGACCAGGTAAAATTTTCAGTCACAAAATGGTTCAAATTTAAATTCTGCAGAAATAATCTCTTTTAAAAGAGTCATTCAGAGAAGTTTGCAGAGGGTATTAAACTGAAGTAAAAGCTGTGGATCAAAATAATTTCCCTTTAAGCAGGGTGTAGCTAATCTTTAGCATTTTTCCAAACAGTCAGGGCTTCATTATATCTCTTTCCAACCAAAAATACTAATCCAGATTCATCAAAGCCTGAAATGAGATTTACATTACTCCAGAAGCTACTCTCTGTATTGTTAAATTTAATTTAGCTTGAGCTGGAATAATAATTGCAAGGATTTGAATTAATCCAAAATATTATTGTACCTGTTACAGTGGCATGAATTTTTTTCTATACCCTGATTTTGTAACAGAGATTAAATCCTTATAGGGGTGCAAAAAACCCCCAAATTCTTACTCCAAGCATAAGTTAATTTTTAGTGAAGACAAGGCAATGAGCCGGCTGACATGAGAGCTCTGGTTTTGATTTGACCTACTCACTTGTTTGAAGACGAGCAGCTGTCTCATTTGACTAGGATCTTTATCTGGAGTTGGTGGGAAAAAAGGCCAGGAGCAACTTATCCTAACCAAACCTTTAAGCCTTTTAAAAGTGGCATAAAAATCAAGTTGATATGCAAAAAAAGTCAGCTATCCATTTTCCATCCCTCCTGGTCTCACTCATTCAGTGCCACAGGCACAAACTTCTGGCTTCAGAACAGCATCAGTTGACCCTCGCTGCACAGCAGAGCATTACTTGCATACCACAGTCTAAAAAACTGTATTCCCTGCTTTGTCCCACCTGAAATCCCTCCTCAACCCCCCTGGCTTCTTGGGGCACGGGATGAACTGCGGCCTAGCAGTGGCCAGGAGGGCAGAGTACTGGGACCATGGACATAGACTGGTGAAGTGTTTCCATATCATCTTAGATCTCATACTATAGCTTATGTCACCCCAAGCCGTTTGTCACATTTGTGTATGCCTTTTTCTGACCTCTAGGTTATAAGCTCTTTGAGGGACATTATAATTGTACAGCCTTTGAAACTAAGCTATTGAGATAATGCCCTGCAACCAATCTCAAAAGCGACAGGGAAGCTCAGGCCCTAGTTCCATGCAGTCCTTAGTCTGATAGCTGAGGCCTGCAGAAGTGAATATTTTGTGATACACATTTATAACCACAAGCTGTGCCCAATCCTCACTATTTATAAGAAACCAGTTCTGTTAGACAAGAATAACCTTCCATTACAGTTAAACAGATTTGACAGCGATGAAAAGGTTTTAAAGTTCTGAAACTGGAAAATTTTAAATGATAACCAGAGGCAGTGTCCCCCAGCATGGGATCTATCCCTTGAGACTGCTCAGCCTTAATACACGTCTGCCACTACCTCTCAAAGTGGAGTATTTTGGAGCCAGATAAAACTCATTTGAAATGTATCTCCTGGTACTTAGTTTATTTGGTGCTTTTTCTCTGGCTAACTTCATTACATCTTGCATGATGATTAATCTTTCCTTCTAAAGCAAATTTATTCTGTTTCTAGTCATTGCTTCATCTCCTTCACAAATGCCTTTACACCAAATGGCTGATTGCTGAATTGTTACAGTTTTGCATCTCTCTAATCCATCCAGCTACCCTGAAAGCAGGTTGTATTTCTTACAAGAGACACTGTGATAAATGTGATTCTGTAGGTCACATTTATCTTCCCAGAAGGCCCAACAGCTCCATAAGCAGGTTCTTGTCTGATCTGGCCCAGGAAAAAAATTAACATTCAATACAATTCAAGGGCTTCTAACCTCTCAAGACCTGAAAGGAATGAATTTGTGCTCTGAGCATATTTAAAATTTCCTTCTTCCTTCAGATACCATGCCACATGCTCACTTCAGAGGCTGAGAAGACCACAAGCATCTGTCTCGCACCACCTGCCGCAGTGCCTGAACCACCATGCAAAGTGCATTCGCTTTCTTAATGTGCCACCAGACTTGTAGTTGAAGGAGGATTTTTCTCAGTGCTGCCCTACAATGTCAGCACTGGTGATAGTGAGGAGGTTTGTGTTACAGGTAGAGACTGCAGCTATCCATGAAAATGCTTTTTTAAGCAAGGTTTCCAGAAATAAGATGTAGTAGAAGGCCTTGAAGAGGAAAAACCCCAGACATCTTCACATATGTGCTTGCCAAAAAGTCTTGGGAGTCCCACAGAGGAACCAGATGGCCCCATATGTCACAGTAAAACCAAAAAGACAAGGAGGAAATGCATTAATAACCATGGCAGCCATCTCGTTTAGAAACACATGGCCTACACATGGCCCTTCCCCACCAAACACTTGCTGTGACTCTTCCCTTTGCATTTTATGTTATTTTATTACCCCAGTAAACCAGGCTGCAGGTAAACAGGAAAAGACAGTCCATGGCCACTGCAGCCATGGGGATAACGTTAGCCATATTTTCTTAGGCAGATATTTAAAACGGCAAAAAATGGTAAGGCACAAATAATACCCATTTAAGTATGGGTTAAGCCTGGCTCCACACGTGCTCACAGTAGAAAATATATGTACAATACAAGGTTTGGGTCTTTCCCTGCTTCTGCCTGTCCGGGGCTGGAGAGACGTTGTCCCTAGGGAGACCAGCCCTCCCTCCCAGTGCCAGGGCAGGAGGCACCTCAGCAGTCCCCCAGCCCTGCGCACACCTACCCAGGCTCTGCAGGCGGCTGAGGGCAGCCGGCGCCACCGCAGAGGACGAGAGCGCCGTGGTGGACAGACCAGGCCTCAACATGGTAGCCAGGTCAGAGCTCAGCACGGCGGCTGGGTCAGGCCTCGCTGTTGCCAGGCAACCAGGCTCTGAGGGCCCAGGGCCACACTCCATCCCCTCACCCCAGGGCAGAGGGACAGATCTCCTGGGGCTCAGGCTGGGTCTGTCCCCCCAATAGACCTCCCAGGGTTACAGGGGGTGTAGCCCCCACCCCATGCCAGCCTCCCACAGGTGCCGATGAGGAGGTCATGATGCAGACAGGCGTCTGAGGGAGGCCCTGGGCAGGAGGAGACCTCACCGCCTTCCACACATCACATCCATGGGGACAAACGGCTGGATTGTCGTTCCTTGTAGGAGTCATTTTTAGGGGGCAGATGACTGATCAGGAATTTTTGTCAATTTTGCAACCTCTGTGCTTCTGGTCCGAGGCTTTCCTCTGTCACGGATAATGAATCATGTCAAGGTTAGATCAACCTGTTACAATAAACCTAGAAGAGTCTTGGCCAACATACGAAACGATCTTCTCGCAAAACACAGTGCATAAAGTACTTTTACATCCTAGCAGTTAAACTTGATAATTTCTGGCCTGGGAGATTATGCTGGCATGCCAACCTTTCAAAACATGCAAGATTTAAAAATATTAATAATAAAGCTTAGATTTTTTATTTGTTTTTCCAAGCCTGCAGGCTGCAGTTGAGTTGTATATTGAAGCTTTCCCATGGATCTTTTTAAATACAGTCATCTGTGTTTTACAGTTATTACTGTAAAGACAGGGCCTCCAAGAACCAATATCCTCTATTCAAAATTGAAGATAAAATAGTGATTGTATGAGGGAATATCAGGTGGCACTGCTGATTATTTCCATGTGAACTAAGCTCATAGAGACAAATAATCAGCAGGATAATATAACTTCTTTTTAATTATCTAAAGACATCTAATAAAAAGTGCTGCAACTTTCCTCTGGAGGTAACCAGCTTGTTAGGAGATGGCCCCTTTCTTTCCTACATATTTATGGCTGCTGCCACCTTGCCAGGCTATTACTGGAGACCTTCTTCTTTCACAATCAGTACCGATTTATGGCTCAGCAAGGGACAATCAGCAAAGGTGGTGCCATCCTTCACCTCCAGCACTCTGAGAAATTGCTTTGGAAATTGAACTGTGCCAAGAACAGCCATGTGTTAAATGATCTGCTGTTAATCCTGTATGTTGGGTACACACACGGGACCGGATCCCAAACGAGATGAGCATCCTCCCCTCCTCCTGGTGTTTGCAGGAGGTGGGGGCAATCAGTGTCCACTGCCTTGTAGACTGTGGTAATGCTCTTCTGCAGTTTCAATATGCAAAGTATCTCCAGTTAACCCCCCAAACAGTTGGATCCATGCCTTCATTTCACTGCAGATAGAATACCATCATCTGGGTGAACTAGTAGAATACCTATCCTATCTGGTTTTAAAAAAGAAAGTCACCTGTTCATTGCATGACAGCCAATTCGGTGGCTACAAGATAAAGCTTCGCTAGGAAGAAAGGAATGGCTCTCTTTTTCTGAAAATCTTTTTAAGTCTTAAGCAGGAGTCAGGCCTTAATGAACTCAGTGGTTGCAGAATGCAGGCCGTTTTGTACCTGACTGAAATTCAGGCACCTCTGGGCCAAGTAAATAAATTGAATTCTATGATACCAAAGTACTGGAGGCAAGTTCTCAATTCTCTTGGTGAACTTAGACCCTCAGCTGGAAATTATACTTGAAAAACGAGAGTTTTTTTCCTTTTCAAGCAATTAAGCATTTCTAGGTAGAAAATTTACCCATTCTTCCTGTTTTTTTTTTTTTAATATTCTGGTCCCACTGTTGTGGCGATACAGCCACATTTGTAAAAAAGTATCAGTAGAATTACAAATTTTAATGGAAAAAATATATTTTTTCCTTATGAAATATAACCATTTTTTCTGCAAAAACAGCCTCAAAATCAGGACTTATGATGTGAAATAGTAACTTTTTTCCCAGCAGATATTTCAAGACAGAGCTTCACTAGAACTTAAAACACTGCTGCAGAGTTGCAAAGGACTTCAAGCTCTTTAACACTTAACAGAAAATTTCTAGTCGCTTTTACACAAAAGATCTTCCGCAGGCTCTTCTCCTAGAGACGTGCCTTTTCAATTGCCATCATGCTGCCTCTGGAAGTCCAATAAGACCTTATATGCAGATGTTGCTTTCAAACTCCTATCAAAGATGAGAGTGGTAAAATGGTACAGACATATAAAGTGCACCCATGAGCAAAGGATGGGCCATAAACTGGGATGGTTTTACAACTGTTGCAGGACATTTAAGCTAAGAAATACTTTGATTTCTAGCTCCAGACTTCTGGGAATTTATTGCTGCCCTGTATCTGAAATAAATTTAGCTACTGCAAATAGGGAAAGTCAAATCCCTGCTCAGCCTTATGGTGAGAGTAGCTGGGCAATGCAGCACCAGCCTAAAGGTCTGGTAGCTGAAGACTAGGTCTGAGTAAGCAGGGCTAATTTTGTCTAGGAGAATCTGCTCCCTCTTTCCTTTTACTACAACTCACAGTCTGAACATGGAGAAAGCAAATGCGTGTTCAACATGAATGAAAATTTACATCTCATAAATCATCTGCTTCCTGAGAAGTTTAGTAGAATAAAAACTAAGAAGGGAATTCCAGTAGATTTTTCTGCCTCCATTTACTTATGCCAGAAGAAAACTTTTGGTTGGTTTGCACTCATTTCTATTAACCTATCCACCACAGCCTGAATCTAATCTGGTTACCCTTTTCCCCATAATACAAAATTATGTCACAGCAAACAGGATTCACAGGGGGAGACATGGACCAGTCTTTCTTTATAGCATCTTCCTAACTCTCAGGAAACAAGAGGAGGCATGAAGCCCCATTTACATTTGCAAGAATTGACAAGCCTTTGAGATTTTGTCACAAGTCTAATGATGGCCTCACTGCTGCCTGGATGTCTCTGCTGAGCATGGAGTACCTTTCTTGGGATCACAAATATTACTAGTTAGTAATAAATGACAAGGGCAATCTTTTCTTCCCAAAGAGAATGGACTAAATTTTGAGTTCATATGATCTGAAGAGAGCTGCTCTGACTTCAGTAGATCTACTTGTCCTTATCAGAGGAGCATCTGTAATATTCTCTTCCTGCTAAATAAACACAGAGACTCTCTAATGGTTAACGCACTAGTGAAATAATTGCTGGGGGGAAAAAAATGCACATGATTCCCTTCAATCATCTTTCGTAAACTCACTTTCAGCACAAAGAAGAACCACCTGGGGAATTGCCATCTGCTGGTTTTATCAACAAGGCAATCAGCATTGTATGTAATCTATTTCCTACCTCGAACGACTCTGAGATTCACAGTGCTCATTTCCAACTCCTATTTGGGAGCTAGTGTTAATTTCCCTGACCAATAATAAATTTTAACTTCCAAACCAAAACCATGGAATGTAATTTTTTTTTCCTGTGTCATCATTAAACAATTTAATTAAGCACCAGCTTAAACAGCGTTTAGCCTTCCTGGTGTTTACCCCCAGTGTACATGTAAAGAGCAATTATATCCCCCTTTCCCAGGCTTCATGTTGTTAGCGTAATGAAGCCCAACTCTTCTGGACTCCATTCTTGTAATGGCCCCTGCATTCCCTTGGATAACCCTAACAGCACTTCTCTCCCCACTCAACACTTCGTACTGTGTTCGACTAGGGTTTTCTCAGCAATACGTGTTTCTAACCAGCAACCTTCTAGCCAGCAAGAGCATTTTCTGTTATCAATCCAGGGCATAACTTTGCATTTGTTATGCAAAATATCATCTGACTTTTGTTGCTCCTGGGTTTCAAGATTATCCAGTTACTTCCATATGACATCCCAATGGTCTCCTCCAATACTCCACCACTTTGTATCTTTAGCAAAGCTCACGAGCATCCTCTGCATCTAGGGTATTTTATTTATTTTCATTGAAATATTGAAATATGGCTGATATTTGGGAATCTTCACTACTGACCTCTCCTTTTAACACTACCAATTACCATCTGCTCCTGAAGATCTTCTTAAAATCTTCTATTAATCACCATTTTGTCTGGTTTACTTGTGATTTCTCTCATGGCACTGTATCACAGACCCCAGGTACAGGACTGTATAGCAGCTACTCTGATTTCTTTTGCAAACCTTAAGTTATGATACCATAGTTCAACCTGCATAACAGAGTCCACAACATTTCACTCTAGAAGGAAGATTTACTCAGGTCTCTTGTGACTGGAGAGCTGTAGGAGTACCTTTGGCTAAATGGCAGTAGGAACAATGTTTTTTTTTTAATTCGCACTATTGGTATAGTGTGTGAGTCATAGACTTGTGATTGCTGTTGGGAAAGTGGGCGAGACAAAACACTTGAGACTAAGAGAGATTCTTGGTTATATCCTGATGTCAGAATTAAAATTTAAGCTTATTTCTGAAAGTCTGGTGTTCAAAAGTGACACTAGTAGTATCAGGATTTTATACTACTTCAGTCTTTTTAAGCTGATGTGAAAACTTGGAGTATACTTTTTGATAGTTTTGCTTTCCATAGTTCACCACAGCTCTATATCTCAGTTGAAAAAGTTGTAAATTGTCTAGTTTTCAAGGGGGAAGAGAGGTGAGGAAGGTTTCCAGGACTTCAGAATTTCCAACTAGAAGGAATAAAAGAGGTGCTTCCTCACATGAGTTCTAAGAAGGTCACAGCCCCACCTCTTCTTAATTAAGTGCTGCAAATTTGCTGATAACTGACAAATTGAGCTGATATTCTGCTGGTAACTGTTCAGTAATAATGTTTAGCCTGTGGCAAAGGTGACACTTTTTCTCTCAGTGTAAGAGGCTAATAATTGTGTGGATGGTGCTTTCTCCGAGCAAGCATCTGTGTAACTAGGAGAAATTAAATTAGGCCTCATGTCTAACTTGGCAAATGAAGAATATTTTGTGTAAAGACATCTGCTATTAAAGTCACTCCACTGCTTGAATGTTACATATCCTTT